GCCTGTCGGGGACTAAAACGAGGGAGCCCATGCACTGGGACTGGGGGCGCCCGGGCCCCAAAGTGCAGAGGGCTATGTGTCATGTAGCCCTTCGGCGGGCGGACATCCTACTTTATACTTTTTTGGCGATGTTGACCGGGGGAGCCCTGTAGCATCTGGAGAGAGAAGGAGGGGCTTCTCCAGGACAGACTTGGCAGCCAGAGGGCGTGCGGAGGACGTCAGCAGTGACCCGTGGTGTTCCTGGGGACTCCGCCCGGTCCCTCATGGGCAGGTGCCTGTCAGTTTGCAAGTGGAGAGCCGGGAACTGGGACACTCGGCCCTACTGCCAAGAGAGACATGGACTAGAAACACACGCGCGTGGAAAGGACCGAGAGCCCGGGTTGCACGCTTACAGACCCAGGGCTGAATTCCAACCCCGTCTCTTGCTGATGGTTTATCTGTCCTGGTCTAAACTCCCGTCTCTGAGTGAGGAAAAAGCAGCGTGACCGGGTGGGAACACACGCAGCTCTAGAGTCTGACAGACTTGGACTTGAATTCGGCCCCTTGCTCTGTTTTGGGTGAGTCACCTCTCCGCAAACCTTGGTCTTCTCTATTAAAATTAGGGATAACAGGTTAAAAGTGTGTGACAACTAGACATCATAATACCAGGTCTGTCCCTGACGTCAAGGGCTGCAGCCAGGAGGGTGCGCCGCCCAGCAGTTCATCCCCGTAACATCTGGGGCGGTTGCCACCGCTCTCGTCCGTCAGCGCTGCCTTCCCCGAAAGGATAACACCCGTCTCAGAAGCTGCGGCGGAGCGGGTGTGTGAAAGCTCAACTTCGCGTTCCTTCCCGAGCCAAACTCCCGGAACGCTTGGATTAGCGAGCCCTAGGACGCAGGGACTTGCCGTCTGGAAACAGTGCCCTGAGGACTACGACCCCCGGGTGTCTGCGTCATTTCACACGTGCTCGAGGGCTGTGCTGGTCGCTCCAGACATCACATCTGCAAAAGAAGAAATGTCATCATCAGAAAATGTCCCAGTGGGAAGATTTGGGTGATACCGGCTCGTCTCTCACCGGATCTGGCGGGTAAAACACGCTCCCCGGAGCGAACACCTGTCAACCACACGGAGCGAGGATCTTTTCCGCTTGTGCCTGTATGATGCCGGGAACGGCAGGGAGGCATACAGTGCTGCCGCCTGCCAAGTGTCCTCCGGGAGCTCGTCGTGTTGCTGGCATCACCTGCTCATAACAGGCGGGACAGGAGCGCATCAGGAAACGTCAGCGGAGCAATAATTAGCAACTGCGTCAGGCCTCTGGGCCCGTTTTGATGATAATGCGACATCACAGCTGTCTCGCTCGTGGAGAAACAGGGAGGAATAGTTTCTGGAAACTCCAGAAGACTTAGTTCCCTTTTCCCCCCAGTGTAGGGGGGAAGGTACCTTATTAGGGTAAAGCATTCAGGAAAAAAACAGAGGTTCGGGAAATACAAATATTCTAAGCTGCGAACCAAAGGAGTCGTGGGTTTTCCTCGAAATAACGCAAGAAGCTAATACGTTATTTGTACAACGTCTCGTGACGTGTCCAGCATCGCCCAGGGACACGCATGCAAGGGAAATACACACCACGGTTCTGGCGGTCAGTAAGAAGACGATGACGACTGATGACGTGGGACACAATTGGAAAGGAGTGCCCCCGCGGACTGGTGTGCGTGGAGCTCCATGGTGTGACGTGAGTGTCAGTATTTAGAGAGTCAGAGAGAGAAGGAGGGGTTCCGAGAGAGGCATGGGGTGGCGGGTGGACTGAGTGCCACTTGGAAGTGGGAATGGTCCTGAAAAGGTAGTCCACGCTGACCGAACCCTCCTTTTTGTCCAAAACTACTGGGCTAAACAATCAACTTACATGGTTTTATTTATTTGTGTCTCCTTACCGTCTGATGGGCTTTATGCTGTTGTTTTTTTTTTTATCCCGAATTTACTAACAAGAAAACTGAGGTTCAGTGAGCGTGAGTGACGTTTCTGAGACACGCAGCCTGTACCTGGCGGAGGGGCTCTTCTCGCCGTGTTGTCGTGCAGACGTGGGGACAGACGGGGGTGTGGGCACGCACGCGTGTCTGTGTGTTAGACGTGGTGCAGGCAGGAGATGGTGAGAAGAGGTTGCCTTTCACATGTGAGAGGACCGGAGACACGTGTGGGAAGCGGCACGGGTTTGAGGGTGCCAGTGAAGGCCTCTGGCTAACGGGGAAGCAGGGCTTAGCGTGGGAGGGTGAGACGCCAGACCAGTGGGTTAAGGAAAACCCCAGGGGGGAGGCCGGTATCAGCCTGTGACGGGGCGCTGGGCTGGTTTGGGCTGAGAGTCAGGTGTGCACTGGCTGGCCAAGTAGGTGAACGCCCTAATTTGTCTGTGGGCTCTGGACACACAGACCGGACGTGTGAAGGACGGATACCGAGGCATGCCCTCTGATTTGACTGCCGCCCAGGAGGCCTGTGGGAAAGAGTATGACCCCTGACTCCCACTCACCAGTGGCCCCTAGTGAGTGTGGTCAGTACGCGTGAATCTGCTCGTCCTTGGCATTGAAAACCTCTGCCCACGTCAGCATCCCTCCTCTGTAGTTTCAAATTAGACACAACCCAGTCGGCGCCAGTCCACTCCCTGCCCAGGGGAACCGTGACCCCTCCCAGGCCTGGGCCCCTGAGAAGACTCCCAAGTAAGCTTTTGACCCTACACTCTTTTCCCCTGGGCTCAGACAGGAGCATGGCCTGTGGATGTGATGCACCTCCGGGGCACACACAGACTCCACCCACCGTTGTCTTAGAGACTCCTGGAAGGTGCGAGAAGGAAAAAGCAGAAAACACTCCAACTGTGTGTGGGACACACATAAAAAAGGGCCCCGCGAGAGCCCCTAGGGGTTCCCAGAGGTGCTGGAGGCATGAAAGCAGGGGTAAGCCCACTCCGGTGAGGCGGGACTTCCTGCGGGCATGGAGGGGGGCGGGGCGTGCTTGTGAGCTGAGGCTGGGACGTCCAGCGTATTCAGGCGGGCCAGCTCCCTGAATACAAGCCGCTCTGGTGTGTCCATAGGTGCGTTAAGAAATGTGCCCACAAAACCCTGTATATCCTGTGTGACTGTATTTATTAAGCAAAAACATCAAGCCTTTTGCAGTAAGGTCACTCATGAACACCAATAACTAGAACAGTAAAAGGGCAGAAGAAACACACCTTTTTGGGTCACGGCCGTCTTACAAGACTGGCCTAGGGAACTCTGAGTGGTCATTGCGTGGGTGAAAACTGCGTATTCACCCATCTAAAGATGGGCGTTCATTTCAAAAGAGCCTGTGGCTTCCGTTTCACTGGTCCTCTATGCTGAGTGCAAGGTCACACTGAGGACAGCATGCACCCGGGCAGCCCCCAGGTTATGCATGGGCGGGGCTCCGAGGGTCTACCGGACCCCGATCTCCGGAACACAGCAGCATCTCCCCATAACCCCGTGTCCCCGTGGGCTCCCAGGCAGCCTGCCCCGCTCTGTGGAACCCCGAGTTCTGGAGGGGGTTCCATGAGCCACAGGGACGCTGACGACAGAGCAGAGCCAGGGAGGGGCTGGATCTGGAGTGCAGGGACATCCTTGGAGGGAAGAGCTCAGCGGCACGGTCCCTATCTGGCACAAGTTTTTCAAGACCGGTCGCCATTACTTTTTTTGTAAAAATAACTTTTATTTTGAAATAGCTTAGGACTCACAAGGAGTTGCAAAAATAGTACAGAGAGTGTCTGTGTACCCTTCACCCAGTGTCCCCAATAACTGTGTCCTACAAAGTCCTAGTGTCTTGTCAGGAGCTGGGCACTGACGTTGGCATGGTCCACTTAATTCGGGAGTGGAGCTCACCTGGGTTTGACCAGTGATCTTTGTCTTTTTCTTTCTTTTTTTAAAAAATATTTTTTAAATTTATTTTTAGAGACGGGGAAGGGAGAGAGAAAGAGAGGGAGAGAAACATCAATATGTGGTTGTCTCTCAAGCACCCCCTACTGGGGACCTGGCCTGTGACCCAGGCACATGCCCTGACTGGGAATCGAACCAGGGACCCTTTAATTCACAGGCCGGTGCTCAATTCACTGAGCCACACCAGCCAGGGCTGATCTTTGTCTTTTTCTCCCTAAACAAGTCCAATGCTTTGGAATTATTAGATCACTTATTTTTCCAGTGTTAAAAATGCAAAAGCAAAAAACTTTATTTTTGTAACAAACTCTCCCATTACATGCTCTAAAAATTTTAACTGGCCTCAAAAAATGTATATGTGTGAAGACTGAGTAGGTTTCACATTCATGCAAATTACTTAATGTTGGTATTGAAAGGCAAAGGTTTTCTTTGAAATTTCTAGCATGTGTTATATTTGTAGTCCAAAAAATAACTTATGGAACAGCAACTTTACAGATTAAACTGAGCCAGCATTTTATAAGAGCCTGTGGGCCCGGGTCCTGGTTCCACCTGCTGCTGCAAGCAGGATGAAGTTATCTTCGTCGAGTCCCTTGATCTCTTTGGCCCTGAGTTACTTGATCGCAAAGTAAGGAAAATAGACTAATAAGGAAATGACTTCTAAAATTTGCTTCAGTTAAAAAAAGCCCTGTGGTACTCCGATGTATACAGTTTTATACAGAGATTATCATTGAAAGCATAGGACAGTTTTATTTAAAAATAGAACAGAACAAAACAAAACCAGCCTGGCTGAGGTGGCTCAGTCGGTGGGGCATTGTCCCATGGTGGGAAGGTTGCAGGTTCGATTCCCTCTCAGAGCTTATGCCTGGTTGCGGTGTGGTCCCTGGTCCGGGTACAGACGATCCCCAGGCCAGGTGTGTACAGGAAGCAACCAAACAATGTTTCTCTCTCACATCGAAGTTTCTCTCTCTCCCTTCCTCTCTCTAAAAGCAAAGGAAAAAAATGTCTTCGGATGAGGATAAAAAAGTTTAATAAAACCCAAAACAAAACAAAAACAAAGTGATATCTTAAGTGAGGTTTGTGCTCACTTGAAAGTGGGGGGAAAGCACGAGAGAAGATGCAAGGGTCAGCGTCGCTGTGGAGGCCACGAGGTGGCCGGGGCGGCAGAGCTGGTCTCCCTTCCCGCGGTCCACGCGAACCTGGGTGACATTTGCACAAATGAAGTCAACCTTGGCAAGCCTCGATTTCCCTGCCTGCAAGAGGACGACCGTACCGGGTTCGTGTGGCTCTGAGCAGTAGAAGGGGCCCCGGAGGTAAAACAGGTGGCGCAGTCCCGGGCGCAGGCTGTGTCCTGTGGGTGTCCGCGGAGGACCGGCGTGCGGCTGTGAGTGCCAGTGCAGGCGAAGCCGGGGCGGGACTGGAGCCGGTGGTGTGATCGCAGTGGGCGTTAGCCTGCCTTTGGCGGTGTGAGGAGCCTCTGGTGTCTGGGGACACTTCCAGGAGGACACATCATGGGGCTTTGATGGGACTGTCACCCAGAGATGACTGGGGAAGATGACCGGCTTTCCTCACGACACCAGAGAGAGACCCGCGGGCTCAGCGGGCTCTGAACCGGCCGCGGCGGAATGAGCAGCACAGAGTCTGTTCCTAGGAAAAGCGAACAGGTCCCGCATACGTTTGATCTCACGGTAAAGTCGGAATTGGAATCTGGACTCTAAATTCCAGAGTCCACGACATTGTAACGTGAGAGTGAGACAGAGGTTTGCTTTCCTGTCCCCAGTCTTGCCGCTCAGACGGGTTCCTTCCCCACAAATGTCTTCTCCCCCCGGCGGCGTCTGTGCTGGCGTCTCAGGCAGAGCCTTCCGGCCGCTACACTGAGATACACGGCAGAATCACCCGGACCACAACTAATCCCATGAAAAGACAGGAAAAATTAAAACAGGAGCATTTGTGTTTACATAGCAACCACACTACACTGCTGTTTGCATCAACATTTCCTGGGGGGGCCATCCCGTTCTGCTTAGCCTATTCCTTTGGGCCGCATTTTAAAAGGTTTCGTTTTGGATTTTTCAGATAACTTTCACCCTTTCACATTTAAGGCGTAGCTTTAGCATCTCACAAAACTGAATATTTCACCTTTCAGCGTTCTACCATCTGCATTAGAAGAACCCATGCTAATATATGCACAAACGGCTCTCCAATGACCTGGCTTACTGTAATCTTTACATTTCACCTTGGTGTTTAAAGGAAAAGGTGAACATGATTTAACTTTTCTCTCCAAATACCTCCAAAGTAAGGGGAGAAATAAAATGCACAGTGTCCAGTAGAAATCCCAGCCAAGTTTCTATGGAAACTGATAAAATATAAAATGTACACAGAACAAAAAAGCCCCCAAAGAGCCAAGATAATTCTGGAGAGGAGCCAGAGGCGAGGGTGAGGCAGTGGGACTGCCCTATTGCATGTTAAGACTCACTATAGAAGGACTTTAGCTACCAGCGAAGCATCGGCATGGAGACAGATAGATGGACAGAGAGGCCGAACAGAAGAGCCCAGAGACGCATTCACACAGGACTTTCCCCAGCAAGACGCAAACAGCAGGAGCCATGAAGAAAATGGGTACATTCTACTGCGTGAGAATTTAAGCCTTCTGTAGTCCCTGAGACGCTGTCAACAGAGTGCAAAGACAAGCCACGCCCTGCGACGGCCATGCCTGGCCAGCCGGCAGAGAAGCAGAATGCACACAAAGACGCGGATGACCCCCAACACTCAGTGAGAAAACGTAAGGAGCCACGAGAACAGAGCGGAGGGTGCGAAGAGCTGACCTGCAGGGGACGAAGCCTGAGTGATGCATGGCAGGTAAACAGTGTCCCATCGGACTCCACCAGGGACACGCCAACTGCCGCCCGGGGTCGCGAGCCTCCCCCCCCCCCGAGTGCCTGCCAACGTCCCACGAACCGGAGCGCTGGCACAGAGGTGGACAGTCTCACGTGTGGCTGACGGGAGGCATATCTGAAATCTGGGCCGCCCTCCAAAACTGTCTGGCAGCGCCAGCAAAGCCCACGCTGCAGGCCACCCACCGTCCTGCCGGTCTGTTTCTAGACGTGTACCTTAGACTCGTTCTTGCCCGAGTGCACAAGGTTCACTGCGGTACTCTTCGTAATTGTGAAAAATTAAAAACGAGCTGACTGTCCCTCGGTGCAGGAATGGAGAAGTTGTGGGATAGCAGAGTAAATGAGCTGGATCCGTGTTTCCCAAGGCTAACGGTTCTCGGAAATATACCGTGCAGGGAAAAAGAAGTGGCAGGAAAATCTGTAGTTTGGTACCATTTACATACATTTCGAAGGACCCCACATACAGCATTGTCTGTAGGCACTACCTGTGGACTAAAAGGACTAAAACACGAATAACACCTTTGTAGCAGCTACACCTGGGTGAGGGAGGTCCTGTGCTTTCAGGGGTCCCTCCCAGACTTCTCTGCTGCCTTCCCCCAAGGGCTAAGGGTTGTACCCCCTGAAACCCATCCCTCCTCTTGCCCCCCTGTCCCCTGGCCACTCTCTGGCGGCTGGGACCGCAGGATGCCCACCCAGGGGCCCTCGGCCCTCTTCCCAGGGCACCTTCCGAAGAAGGGACGCCGGTGGCTGCCGTGGGGGGGGGGTGAGAGGGGTGGGGGACAGGACCTGAAGGCGTACAGAGGTCTTTGACTGTGTCTGCCAGCGTTAGCTCTTACAGCAGCCTGTCTGAAACGAGTGTGACGTGCCATTTGCTCGTTCCAGGGCCGGGGGTGTTTTTTTTTTCTCTTTTCATTAATGGCTGACCATTAGGCAGCACTCAGCATGTTCTAAGAGACTTGCATGAACAACAAAGAGGTCACATTATTCCTCAGTTTTACAGAAAAAGACTAAATAATTTGCCCAAGGTCACTCCCTGTAAGGAGCAAAAGGGGATTTGAACCCCCTAGTTCTGGCTCCGAAGGGCGTCTTGTCTGTCTGCTCAGAGTACGTCATCTTTCTTCTTTAAACAAAGGTGATCAAAATGAAAATGCCCCGACACCTGTACTACAAAGAGAAAGGTAATCCAACTCTGTAGGAAGGTTCTTACCCAGATGTATTGGGGGCCCAGGTGAAGGTGGCATTGCTGGAGCAGGATGGCAGTAACTGGGGGGACAGGCTTGGAGTGGGGGTGTCGGCATTCACCCCAGGCCCTGTTGGGCAGTGGGCAGGGTGGGGCGGGAGAGTGAGATGGGAAGGAGGGAACTTGGCTTGTACAGGCATAGATTTAGGAACATTCCAGAAGGATATGAGGATCAGCAAGAAGTTCTGTTTGGTAGAACTTCCTTCCCAGGAAGGAAGAAGTGGGTGGGGGACAGAGATTCAGTTCTGGAGAGAGAGGGTGAGAAATGGAAAGTGAGCGGGAAAGCAAGGCCAGCCCTTGGTGGCTGCAGCTCCGAGCTGCTCCGCGGGAAGACGGGAGGAGCGAGGACCGCAGGCCGGTGCTGCGGGCGGAGGACCCCCCGGGGGCTCCTGAGGCTGAGCAGCACTGCTGGACGAGGCAGGAGGCGACACCCTTGTGCATACGCAGGGGTGGGGGTGGGGGCGTCGAGAGGCATCCGTCCATTCTGCACAGATTCACCGAGCACCTACTGTGAACCAGGCAGTGTTTTAGGTGATGACGTCACCAAAACGAGGGAAACAGACTGAGCTCTCTGCCCTCGAGAAACTTGTGTCCTACTGGAAGGAGGTAGATTCAATAAATAAATAGGTAAAAATAGATTAGAAGCAAAGAAATAAGAATATGCTTCTGTTAGATGGTGCTGAGCACTTTGCAGACGGATAAGGCTGGGCAGGGGGCGGGGCAGTGCACGTCGGGGGGAGTGGGGCTGAAGAGCGAGGGAGCCCCGAAGGAGCGAGGGGGGCTGAGATGATACGGAGACTGTGGGGTGGGGCCGGGCCACGGTGACACCGGAGGGGGCCAGGAGGAGGCACCGCGTGTGAGGAGGACAGCTGCGGCCTGAGACTCAGGCAGCCATCAGGAACACGGACTAGCCCTCCGGGGCACGAGACACGTGGGCAGCGATGTCCTTGGTACCTAGACAACACAGGTGCTCCCCGAGGAATCATAGGATGACAGAGCAGCCCTCGCCTTGGGGTGAGGCCCTCCTGTGGGCCCACACGCTCCGGGGGTGTGTCCCGGGACGCCTGCGATCCTGGGGACGAGGTTCCTGCAGAGTGCACGGCGCCCGCGCAGCCACAAGCGCGGACAGCAAGTAACAACAGCTAACCCGGGAAGGGCGCACCTGCCCCGGGCGCTTCTCTGGCTGTGCGTGTCCGTCAGTTCACTCAGGCCTCCCCGTGGCCCCAGGAGGGCAGGGGCCCCATCGGACAGACCAGGCACCGGGGTGGACCAAGCTGTCCACGGCCACAAGCTGGGAGGGGATGAAGCCTTCTTGGATCGAGGCAGCCCGGGGTCCTTGCTCTGGAGGGAGGAACGGTGGGTCTGGGCTGCATTAGCCTCTCAGCCTTGCAGGGAAGCTAGTCAGAGCAGAAGGCTTTTCTTTGAGGATGGGGTCGGGGGCTGGAGACGTTTTCAGAAGACGCCTCCTCAGGTAGGAGGCCCCTCCCCAGCCGGCACAAGGCTGTCACCACCCTGAGAAGGCCGCGGCCTAGAGGTGGTAGCAACCTACTCCGGGGGGAAGGAGCAGATCTGAGGCTCTTAGGGAGCCAACGAAGAAGTCACAACTCTTCGGGCCAAGACACACCGCCATTTCCAGGCAGTTTCGGGCCCAGAGTGGGTCGGAAGTCCCTGGCTGAGGCACTCGGTCACACTTGGAACCGCAGGCCTCTGAGCAAGACGCTTGGCCTCTGTGGGCTGCCCAGCTGCCCTTTTGAAAAAGCTGGACAATCTCCGAGATGTCGCCAACATCGAATCCCGCGGGGCTGAGCTGTGCAATCAGCTCCCTGTTCTAGGAACGGCTGCCGGGCCCCGGGGTGCGCGGAGCGGCCTCTGTGCCCCCTTCGAGGAGGAGCGGGCCAGAGGGGCGTCTCCGGGGCGTCTCCGGGGCACAGGCGCTGGCCGGGGGCGCGCGTCGTTAGCTCCCTCGGATGCACTCGGGGCAGCCGAGAGGCCAAGTCCGGGAGCCTGGGGGTTGCTGGGTGACTCTGAAAGTTTCTTCTTCTGGCGCCGAACCCAGGGCGACTGCAGAGCAGGCTGCTGGCAGGGACCGAATGGAGCTCCACGCCAAGCCGGAGGCTGTGCCCGTCACTCGCAGTCCCGGGCCGGGTCCCCCGCGCGCGCGGGGGCGCTCAGCCAGGCCGCGCCTCCCGGGCCCCTCCGCACGCCCCCCCCCCCACTCCAGGGACCCTGCGGCCCCGGGAAGCACGTCCCGCGCTGCGGCAGGCACCCCGGGCGGGAGGCGGGAGGTGCGGGCGCGAGGGCCTCCGGGACCTGAGGGACCGCGGCCGCTGGCACGGCGCCCAGGGGCGTGAGGCGGGAGCGCGAGGGGGGGCGGGGGAGGCGGCGGGGTAAAGCCGGCGGCCGGCGGGGCCCTCGGGTCACTCCAGCCTGGGCGGCGGGCGGCGCGCACCATGCCCTCCTTCGACGAGGCGCTGCAGAGGGCCGGCGAGTTCGGGCGCTTCCAGCGGCGCGTGTTCCTGCTGCTGTGCCTGACGGGCGTCACCTTCGCCTTCCTCTTCGTGGCGGTGGTCTTCCTGGGCAGCCGGCCCGACCACTACTGGTGCCGCGGGCCGAGCGCCGCCGCGCTGGCCGAGCGCTGCGGCTGGAGCCCCGAGGAGGAGTGGAACCGCACGGCGCCCGAGCTCGGGGGCCACGGGCACTGCCAGCGCTTCCTCCTGGAGGCGGCCAACGCCACCGCCGCCGCCGCGCTCAGCTGCGCGGACCCGCTCGCCGCCTTCCCCAACCGCTCAGCGCCGCTGGTGCCGTGCCGGGGTGGCTGGCGCTACGCCCAGGCCCACTCCACCGTCATCAGCGAGGTAAGGGTACCCACCCAGCCTGCGGGGACGCCGCGCCCCGGCCCGCGCTCCGCAGTGAGCGCCGGTGGGGAGAGGACGGGGCTCGGCTCCCCACCCCCCGCAGACGCGGGCACTGTGACAGCCGGCCACTGGGGAAGGTCCCTGCCGGCTGGGACCTGTTGCTTACCTGTGGGGACCGACCTGGGTCATTCCACTCTTGCAAGGGCTGTGTCGTAAATGCCCGGGAAATGCCTTCAGTTTGATTTCCCTCGGCTGGTGAGTTGCAACGCAGAGAAGCTGTGGATTCGGGCGGGAAGGAAAGTCAGAGGAGTCCCAAGATGCTTTGCACACACCTGCCCTGGAATCGAAGCATCCAACGCTATGTCCGTTATCTGAGACCCGTTTGCACACTAATTGGGAATTAGGGGCCTGCTGGCTGGGAGACCCGCAGTGTCCTGGGCCAGCCGGCCCGCTGCACTGAGCAGCCCCCCGTCCCCGTCCCCGTCCCCCCACGGTCCACAGGGAGCAAAGGAAAGGAGAAACCAGCGTTCGAAGGCAGCACAGCTTTCTCCAGCTGCCAGCATTATTATATGACATGCACAGGGACAAAGGTCGAGGCTTTCCAAGGAAATGATTTCTGTACAACTGCTTTGGGGCAAAGAGCAGCAATGGAGAGAAGCCGGGAAAGCTGGCATTTAAAATAAGGTTTTAATTTTTTCTGTTTCCTGCTAGTAAATCACGGGAACGCAACAGGAGAGGCCACCAGCCTTGTGAAGTGGACCCCGCCCCACTTACCAGTGTTGGCTGCTGGGGCCCGGGTGGGGGCAGTCCCCGCATCTTCCTGGGTGTGTTTGGGCAGGCAGTGCATTGGGGGGGGGGCGGTGGCCCTTCACCCCCCAGATGCAGGACCGCTTCCGCCCCAGCCTGGGGGGCAGTTTGCATGTTCGCCTTCCTGAGCTCCAGACCCCGGGCCAGCCTCCCCGGAGCCTTGGGTGGGCAGATGAGCAGTTTTACTGAACTTTGTCTGTAATCACAGATCAATTAAAAAAAAATGATTGAGTGTGCACAGGCAAATCGGGGAAGAAGACATTTTGCCTTTATATGTGGACACGGACATTTTTAAAGCACCTGTTTGAATAATGGGGAAACGGGGTTCTCTGGAAACGGTGTCCTCTGGTCTGCCGACTTCCTCTCCCCGGGGTCGGGACCGTGGGTCTTGGAGGCTGCGCCTGTGCCACCCGGCCACGCGTGGGTGTGCTCAGGCACTGTGTGTGGGTGCAGGGCTCTGGGGGCCAACCCCGTGGCAGCCCGCCGGGCAGGGCAGCGCTGCTGTGGGTTTGGGGTGTTTCAATGTCTACCGACTCCGCCGGTAGTGCTGGGGACTGCAGTACCAACCGCTGTGGTCTCGTGGCTGCAGAGTTCACACTCGACGAGGATCAAGCGGACAGGGTGTGGGCCTGGGCAGGGCCTGCCTTACCGCTGGTGCTTCCTGCCCGAGCACGCTGTCGGGCAGCGGCACCTATTTCGTCCGGCCCGGCGCTGCACCTTGACGTCCCGGGCAAACTGGAACACCCAGCTTGGAGAGTCGACGCTTGACTTTTGAAGACGTTTGAACTTCAAACCAAGTGAAATGCAGCTGAGGGGCAAAACGCACACGCCCTCGAGGGGTGTCTCCGGGAACCGACGTGGTTTTTGAACCTCAGAGAAGGGAAACGCCGAATCTGTGAGTGAGTGAGTGAGCGCCCCGACACGCACTTCAGAAACACTCAGCGTCTGGGGTTGTTTCGAGGGGGGCTGGGTGGGTATTTTTGAGAGTCGATGGCTCTGGAAAGGGCGTGTGGAAGGTGGAAGGTCAGGAACTGGGGTCCTGGCACTGTGTCCAGAGAGCCGGATGGCTTGTGGGAACCAGCCTGCCCGGGCCCGGCTCTCCCACGTGGAATGACGGGTGGGACCAGGCCCTTCACAGCGCCGCAAATGCCACCGCTGTCGTCCAGGGGTGGCTGCTGGGCACGCTCAGAGGAATGAAGGAATGATAGAAATCTTCGTGGCAAAGAAAACCAGCAGCAGAAGGCACTCCTGAAGGCCAACCGACAAGCTTTTGAAGTGTATGCGGGAGACTCTTTAAAATCCCAAGTTGTTTGCTTCTTCTGGTTTGTTTGCTTTGAATGTTTTGATTAAGAGGAAGCCCCCGTCTCCTCAGGAAGTTCGGCCATCCCGAGCCACTCAGGCTCTCTGGGAGCTCCTCTGCACCGCCAATACTTCGCTGTCTTTGGTTTAGCATGCGGCTCTCCCATTCTGTCAGGATGATTAAAGAACTTCGGTTCTATCTTTGGCCAACACCGTGTACCAGCGTGTTCTCAGAGGCTTGAGGTTGAACATATTAATCACAGAGTGGGGTGACGGGGGAGTTATGTTGTGGGAAGGCAACCAGAGTCCAGAATGTCTTCGTGCGGCTATTATATTTCATCCCCAGGGGCCGTGGTGGGGGACGCAGCGCTGTCCTGGGTTTCCGAGGAGGCACTGAGGCAGGAGGTGGGACAGGACCTGCTGGAGACCCAGGCCCGTCTGCAGCCGGGATGGGCTCGGACAGAGGGGCTCTCGCACGCAGCGCTCTAAGTCCTTGGAATGAGTTCCGGCATGCGACACCCAGACCCTCACGGTGCAGGGATCCCCCGAACCTCACTTTCCTCCTCACTTCGTTACTCTCCTGCTCCTCTGGCCGCGGTGCCACTTTGTCTCATTTCCTGGTGTCAGGGAGACAGTCTCCCGGCCCCGCAGATGGGAGGCTGCGCCCTCGTTTTCCGGACAGGGCTCGCTCTCCCCTGCACGGGAGCGTTGCAAAACGGGCACTTAAACCTCACCCACCCTCTTTTCGGCTCGCAAAGCAAAAACAGCGCGCGGAGGCGTGAAGGCCGAAGTCAATGCCAAGTGCCTGGCCGGTTCAGGCCGGCTCCCCCACTTGTTTCTGCCGCTCAAGGCAGGGCCGTGATTTTCCATCCACGTTTAACTTCTTCGGGGCAGGCTTGCCGCCCGCCCGCCCGCATCTCATCCTTATCTGCTTGTGGGACGCGGGTGGGCGGAAGAGCGTGATGCAACGCCCCGAGGCCCAGCCCCGCCGCCCAAGGGTTTCACGTCACCGCCCAGCACTGGGTCTTTGGAACCGATGTCAGGGTTTTTACCTGCTTGCTTATGGTGGGTTGGGGCGGGGTGGGGCGAGAGCTTCTCTCCGGCTTCCCACCAGGAACCGGGCTGCAGAGCCCCTTTGGAAATAGGCCGAGTCCTTCTTGTTTCCCCCCGCCCATTCCCCCACCCCCCTGCCCATTCCCCCCAGTGGAAGGAACATCCATTTGAGGGGCTGGCTGCTCCACTGAAGAGAGCGCAGGCTGCTCCCAGGTCTGGGGCCCTCCGCCTGCTCCGCGGTCTCCGCTTCGCCTCTCCCACATCCGACCCACAACAAAGGGCAGGCCCGCCGGGCGGGCGGGCGGGCGGGCCAGCCGTGCGCGTCAGCGCCACCAGCGCCCTGTGCTCGCTGCTGGGTAGGCGTGCAGCGTGCTGCCTGCGTCCCGGACAGAGCAGTCCGACTCTGGCCTGAGCCTCTGATTTGCTCTGGGCGCTTGACAAAGATCGTCACTTTTGTATTTTCTTTCTTTTTTTTTAAATTTCTGCTGTTATTTGTGCCTTCCCTGTTTTTTTGTTGTTGTTGGTTTTTTGTTTTTTTTTTTTTTGCTGAATCAACCTCACAAGGAGAACATCTGTTTTTATCATAACTTCAAAGAACCAACTGTGGCATTATTCACTTTCTATCTCATTAATCTCTCCTCTTTGTTCTGGTTTTTGGATTTGCTTCTGGGGCGCCTTCTCCAAGTTCAGTCGGACACTCGGTTCAAGTATTTCCAGCCTTCCTTCTTCTCTCCTCTCAGTGTTTAAAGCTATGGATTTGCTTCTGTGTGCTTTTTTTTTTTGGACTGCAACCAGCCAGTTTTGAGATGCAGATTTTAATTATTATTCCATCCTCTGGATTGCTCATTTCTATTATTATTACTTCTTTGACCCGTGACTTATCTAGAGGCTTGTTTTAAATGTTCAAATGTGTGTTGATGTTTCTATCTTTTAATTGTTGACTTCTGGTTTCACGTGGGTGTGGTCAGAAAGTATGGTCTGTATGACACTGCTTCTCTGAATTTTATTAAAACCTGCTTTTTGGCCTTCTACGCAGTCAATTTTTAACAACGTCTTATGTGTGTTTGAGATGGATGTGCAATCTTTATTTGGTGTGGGGTTTTATAGATGCCCAATATTTGAAGTTTGTCAATGGTGTTAAAATATTCTAGATTTTCCCCTGGCTGGCGTAGCTCAGTGGATTGAGCTCGGGCTGCAAACCAAAGTGTCGCAGGTTCGATTCCCAGTCAGGGTGCATGCCTGGGTTGCAGGTCATGACCCCCACCAACTGCACATTGATGCTTCTCTCTCTTTATCTCCCTCTCTTCCCTCTCTAAAATAAATAAATAAATAAAATCTTTAAAAAAATATTCTAGATTTTAATCAACTTCCCATCTGGTGGGTCTATCGAGAGTAATTAGAATATCAAAATCTGCCTTTATGTTGGTGGGCTTGTCAGTCCTAAATTCCAGCTTTTAGAGAGCAGCTTTTAGAAGTTGTATATGTGAGGCGATTTTATTGGGTGCGTGTATGGGCAAATTTAGAACTTTTAAATCTATGTAGTACATTGAACCTTTTACTGTAGCGTAGGGACCCTATTTAAATCCATGATATATATGATCTTAATGTCCGTTTTGCCTGATAGTATTATGGCTGCTCCAACTTTTCTCTAGCCGACCTTGACCTCGGCCGGCGAGGACAAGGAGGCGTCTAAGAGGAACACAGGAGGAGAAGGATGTCCAGGTCTCCACTTCCTCCTCATCGTTTAATCTGTAGCAATTTATTAACCACCCCTGGCAGCAGTGGGTGCCTTGCGTTCCTGGGACCCACCCACAGAGATCCGGAATGGAAAGGTCAGGGCGGGACTCGGGGCCCTCATTTTTCACGAGCATGCGAGGCTCACGCAGGTGGTCCGTGGACCACACGAGGAGACACGCTGGGTGTTTCTTTATGAGGAGCCTGATAGGAGTCCCAAGGGCGAGACAGCCTTTTTGTGGTTGAATGAAGTGCCAGTACCGTCCACCCCCCCCAACACACTCTGCAGACCTTGGGCAGAAGCACCGCCCCTTTTGCTCAGGGGAGGAGTCCCAGAGCTTCCCTGATGAAAGCTGGCTCACTGCCGGAGGGCTTGGGGCTGCGCTCAGCTGAGAGTGAGGCCCTGTCCCTGTTTAGGGTGGGGCACCCTTGGCTGAGCCAGGCTCCCTGGGCATCTTAGCGAACCTGCCAGTGGAGCTTTGGACAAAGCCAGGTGGGCC